CTGCCGAAGCTCGGCGAGTGAGAGAGTAACCGACTCGTTTGCATTCCAGAAACTCCTCGCTACCCTGATGAGTCTGATTTCTAGAGAGAGAGAGCTTATAAAGTTGGCCCTTTCGAATCTAACTTAAAATTCACGAGAAATATAATTATTGTAGATGTTGTTATATATATATATATATATATATATATATATATGTATATATAAGAGTGATAAGGCTTGAATTTTAAACCATTAAAAATAAAAAAGGACAAAGGGGAAAATAAAACACTAACGAAAGAAACAAAAAATGGCAAAATAGATTTATAAAGAAAAAGGGCAATTTTAACGAAACCCCTTGTAATTATATTTTCTTGTCTTCAAATCTCACTTTCCAACAAATTTTTTGTTTCTCAATTCACCAACTTTGCCCCATTTCAATCCACTAACCACTCTCCTAATTTTAAAATTATAATATTTAAGAAAGGGTAACTAATATCTGGATATAAAATAATTATAAAAAAAAGTTTTTAAAACAATATTTTTTTAAACAAAATGCAATAGAATTAGAATCAAATCAAAATTCGATATTAAAAACAAATGAATATGTTTTCTATAACCAATAAAATATGAAACTAGAATTAACTAAACGGAAATTAAAATCTATCACAGCAAATATTGTCTAGAGATTATCATAAAGAGTAAACTAGTTTCGTGTCCCTTACGTGGCTCTTTAAGGCGAATTTTTCATATGGGAAATGGGCATGCATGCATGCATGCGATGTGCCATTTTTCATTATACCATTCTCGTAAAAAGCCATCTACTTTACATGTAATATATAATAACATTATATATATATATATATAAAATAATATGTATTATATATTGTCACGCCTACTAACGTCCTTATGGATGGGAATATTTATCTTCAACACTTTATTCGATTCGTAGATAATGTATTTAACCACAGATAATATTAAAAATAATTACCAGAAAACACTTTGATATCATAACAAATTCTTATTTTAATTTCGTGAATTTTTCTATTATGAAATGAAAAAAATATACACACAGAATGTGAAGGTAATAAAAAACTGCAAGATCTCGTGGAAACAGAAGCATAAGTTCAAAAAAAAAAACATATTAAAATGTCGCATTGTTCTTTGTATAGAACAATATTTCCATTTTGCAGAAGACATTATAATGTGATGTGTCATGTATATCAAAATATAGCGATGAGTCAATTAATTAAAATATCGTTATTACTATATTAACTACAAAGGGTACGTGCATATAAGTAAGTGTTCCTACTTAAGAACAGAGTTGTGATTATTTAAAGGCAACTTATATTACAAAATACTACAAGAAAATCTTTAAATTGCGTCAGATTTTGCGACAGAATATTCTGTCGCAAACATTTTGCGACAGATTTTGCGACGGAAAATTCGGTCGCACACAAATTACGACAGATTTGCGACGGAATACGAAAAAAAAAATTTGAAATCACAAAATCCTTTGCAAATGTGTGACAGATTGCGACAGAATCGTGTCCGTCGTAAAAACAAACCTTATATACGACGGAAAGTCTGTCGCATTTATTAATTTTATTTAATTTTGCGACAGATGTGCTAGAGAGATATCTGTCGCAAATTCTTGCGATAGATTTGCGACAGATGTTTCTCCCAACCGTCATTTTCACTGAAAATTTCAAATTTTGCGGTTTTTATTTCGAATTTTGTGCCTTTGCGACGGATTTGTCCGTCGCAACACTTAATAAAAGTCACGACTTCGTCTTTCTCCTCCAGACTTCGAAATTTCAACCAAAAATCAAAATCTGTCAAGATTTTTGCCCACAATCATTTTTCTTCAAAATTTGCTAAGGTATGTATGTATATATGTGAATTTGTATGTATATATATGTAAATATATGAATATATATATATATATGTATATATGTGTGTATGTGTATGTGTGTTGTGTATATATGTGAATGTGAATGTGTGTATGCGTGTATGTGAATATGTGTATGTGTGTAAGTGAATGTGTGTGTGTTTATGTGTTTATGTATGTGTGTGTATGTGTGTTGTGTATGTGTGTTGTGTATGTATATGAATGTGAATGTGAATATGTATGTGTGTTTATGTATTTGAATGTGTGTATGTGTGTATGTGAATATGTATGTGTTTGTGTTTATGTATGTATATATGTGTGTGAATATGTATGAATATGTGTTTATGTATGTGTGTAATGTATATGTGTAACTGTAAGTGTATATATATGTATATGTAAATTTATATGTGTATATATATGGGTATGAATGTGTGTATGTGTATGTAAATGTATATGTATGTGTATGTGCATGAATATGTGTGTATATGTATGTATATATATATGTGTGTAATGTATGTATATGTAGATATATATATATATATGCGTATGTATAATATAGTTTTTATATTTTTTAAATTAAAAAAATATTTTGCGACGGAATAATCTGTCGCAAAATTGACATAAATTGGCGACTCACAAATTTTTGCGACAATGATATACGGACAGAAACAATTCTGTCGCAATCTGTCGCAAATTTTTAATTGCGACAGATTCGCTTTGTATTTGCGATAGATTTTTCTGTCGCAAATTCGTGTTTTTCTTGTAGTGAAAAATAGACGAATGGATATTTTTAACCGATTTTCCTGTTGTAAATATTTCAACGGATTTATAATGGATTGTCCGTTATAAAATTTTCAACGGAATTTTGTTCGTTTTCAACGTATTAATCCATTGAAAATTGACATTTTTTTAGTGATAATCGATAATCCATATATTTTAGCAGAAGAAAAGTAGGTAAAGACTATATTTTTTTTATAATCCGAAAATCAATTGATCTTTTGATTCAACTAGGGATGTCAAAACGAGTCGAGCTCGCGAGCCGGCTCGAGGTTGACTCCTTTTTTACCGAGTCGAGCCAAAAATATCTGAACCCAAATAAAAATGAGCTGAGTGAGCCAGCTCGCCACGAGCCGAGCCCAAACGAGCTAGTTCGGCTGGCTCGCGAGCTCGCTCGGGAGCTGGAGTAAAAAAAAAATTATGTTGGAACTTGAAAGTGTTGATATTGTTGGTATGATATTTTGATTTGGATTGTGATTGTGAATATAAGTATGATTTGAATGTATTGATATGTTCTTTTTATGTTGATATATCATTTGGATATGATTTTATATAATTTGATATGATTTTTTTAGCTATGATTGCGAGCTAAGCGAGTTGGGATGAGTCAGAAATTTTCTGGCCCAAATAAAAATGGGCTTAACGAGCTGGGTTGAAAATGAGCTGGCTCGAAACGAGCTGGTCCGAGCTGGTCCGAGCCGGCTCGTTTGACATCCTTAGATTCAACTATATCTCTAACAAAAACGTAAAAATTCATATGAATGTTTCTCTCCAAACATAGATTTAAACTTGGGTTTGGAAAGAAGTTTTGTCCTATTCTTTACTAGTTGAATCATCTAATATTAGATGACAAAGACTATACTTGGGATCGGTATATTTTTATTTATACGAAAACTAGGAACCATTTTGTATATAAATATCGATAAATATATACAAGAGTTTCATATATATATATATACACATATAAAAGAAACAACAACTAAAAATAGAAACACGTCGTTGTTTACGAAGTTGCATGAAACTCTCTGTGGCCATATACACATGATCTTCTCTACGGCTATTATCGATTCATCTCTGAAAATAGCTCCACCTCCTTCCTCAAAGAACGTGTATATAATCCAAATCCCACAAGGGGAAAAAAAACCCAAAAGAATCAAAAAGAGAACATACAAGAATACCAAATAAAGAGGAAGGAGAAAGGAGAGGGGAGATCGGAAAATGGGAGAAAAGGAAGAACAAGTGAAGCAACATGGTGACAAAGAAGAGGAGCGAAAAGCCGAGAAAGAGGAGAAGAAGCACGAGAACGAGGAGAAGAAGGATAAGAAGAAAGATAAAGATAAGAAGGATAAGGGCAAAGAAGGAGATCAAGATAACGGCGAAAACGGAGGAGACGATGACGAAGAGAAGAAGAAGAAGAAGAAGGATAAGAAGAACAAGAAAGAGAAGAACCCTAATGAAGACAATAAGAAAGATCCCGAGAAGCTGAAACTGAAACTGAAGAAGGTCGAAGACAAGATCCAAGCTCTGGTCGTCAAGAAAGATGAGATCTTGAAGCTCATCCAAGAGGCTGAACAAGCAAAGCCCGTTGAACCTGCAGCAGCAAGCTAATACAAACATTAATAAAATTAAATATAATCTTACATTTGAATTGAGATTCGATATATAATATTATATATATATATATATAGTTTAGGGGAAAACTTGAAAGAAACCCCTTAAGATCTATAGGAATGGATCCATGAGAATCCTAATATTGTTTTTTGTTTGTTTGTTTGTTTGTCCAAATAAGATAATATCGATGGCTGCTGTTAATTGGTGACGTTGCATGATTGAACCCTAAATCTGAACATGATGAAATGGGAGGAAAGGATATAGAGTACAAACATGTGTCATTTCGTGTATGCATGTACACATGTATGCGTATGTGTTACTCTTTGTGTGCGTATGTTACACAAAATACGTTTCATATTTTCGAGATTTCAGACGAACCCTCGATCGGAAATCCAGCCTAAAGACACGGATGAAATAAAAGTTTCAAACTTTGAATGAAACAAATATCAAATAAAATCAAGAACAGAGCGAGTTGACACTGCTCTGTTTCATATAATACAGCAGAAGTGGCATTGGTTCGGAACTTGACTTAGTTACTTGCACCTTTACACACCACAAAAGTCTAAATACGTTAATGGCCGTTATTACCAGCACTTGCATTGATGAGATATAACCACACAGGAACCATAGAATCAGAGACCATTGCAGAAGCATCTCTCGGGTCACTGGTTCAGAGAAGATGCTTGAAGAAGCCCTTCCCTGATCTGAGCGGCCACGTCCCGAACTGCACCTGGCCCGTGAGGCAAGAACACAGCCGATGATTTGGAGCTTGCCCCGATCTCTTTCATGGTGTCAAAGTACTGAGTCACAAGCACCATGTCCATCACATCCTTGGCTGTTGTCCCAGGAACGTTCACAGCGAAACCCAGCACGCTGTCCCTTAAACCATCCACAATCGCCTGCCTCTGCCTTGCGATACCTAAACCCGAGAGGTATTTCGATTCTGCTTCCCCTTCTGCTCGTTTTATCTGCAGGATTTTCTCGGCCTCTGCCTTCTCATTTGCTGCCACCCTCAATCTTGCAGCTAGAGGAAGCAAAAGTTCACATTTCTAAGCTCACAGTCCACAGTAAATGGATCCACATGGTCACGGGTGTATATGAGATCGTGAAAACGGTATTATATGAGTAACTTTTTCACGTAAAAATTCGGGGATTTGCTTGGTATAATATATTTGGAATTCAAAAAACGGTGCATAGAGATGGGTGGTACCAGCATTTATTTCATTCATGGCCCGTTTGACATGTTCATCCGGCTCGATATCGACAATGAGTGTTTGAACGATCTCGAAACCGTAAGCAGACATAGCCTGAAAGTTACAGAAAAAACCAGCTAAAACATAAACGGTGGCAGCCATGGAGCAAAAACCAAATACATAGTGCATGTAACATCATCTAGTGCACGTAAAAACGGCAGCCATGGAGCACGAGCTTAGCTTACCTTCTCGAGTTCTTCTTCAACAGATCTTGCAATTTCATTCTTCTGCTCAAAAACATCATCTAGATTCAGCTTAGGGACACTTGCTCTGATGACTGAAAATTCAGAAGAATCAGCTTATCTTAATCCACTTTCATACAACGTGTATATATATATATATATATATATTTACGACCTATACAATACCGTCGAAAACATAGGCCTGAATTTGGCTCCTTGTGTTGCTGAGTTTGTAGAAAGCATCGTTTGCCTTATCAGCCAGGGCACGGTATTGAATTGAAGCAACAACATTAACAAACACATTGTCCTGAGAAAAAGAAATCATACTAAAACATCAGTCCTCATCTCTACAACAACCAAGAAGCTAATAACATTAATCTGAGCATGGGTTCATGAAGAAGCCAGCAAAGATGGACTGAACTTACTGATTCTGATATGAGAAAAGATTGAGACAAAGAACAAGATCATACGCATTTCGGCAGGACAAAGGCAGGAAAAGGATTGCTAAAATATCATCAGAATTTCACAATAACAGAGGATTCTGATAATGGGGTAAGAAATCATCTTGCAAAAAGAGAGCAAAGATCAAACCTTTGTCTTGGTTTCGCAGCGGACATCGAGTTGCTGGAGCCTCAGAGAGAGGTAACCAGCAACTTGACTACCAAAGCACCATGGAAGAAAATGGCAGCCAGGTTCAAGAACGTCTTCGAATCTACCGAACCTTTCCTTGATTGCTACTGTCGACTGGTCGACTTGGACGCAACAGAAGAGATTACCCATCGTCTTCAGACACTTGAAAAGATTGAATTCAGTTCAACCATAAGCACAAAGCACAAGAATACGAAAGGAGAGATTAGAAATATGGGAATTTCCTCCTAAAACAAAGAGCAATAACGAAAAACTTTTTTTCTGAAAAGGGATTATGGCAACTCTCCGTGCTTGTACAGAAACATGCTCACAAATTCACGAGCACGTACGTATATCGTCATGGAAACGAGATTCCTAGTAAACATGGCTCAACAAACTCGAGAAAATTAGCATAGATTCCGAGGATTCAGGCTAAGCTCAACAGAAACCAGATCCGCATACGAATGAAACAAAAATTAGAACTTTGGCAAGACGATGAAAAGAGAGTAGAAAAAGAAATCTAGGGTTTACCCAATTTCGAAGATCACCACCCGGGTATGTAAGCTTTGACTCTTTGGGAATTTCTTGACGGAAAAAATTCGGAAGAATCGAACCCAAGAAAAAAAAGAGAGAGGAAAAAGGAAGAAAAGGAGAGAGAAAATAAACACAGAAAAGCGAATCGCTGGAACGAGGAACAGATGCGGTGAACAGAACGATCAAATAGAAATAGATATCTCCAAAGATTTGGAATATATCAGTTTCGCCCCAATATATTATCTTATTTACAAACTACACCCGATTGCGAATCCCTAAATCCGGTGGATTAACACAACTCAATTTAATCGAATCATCGCTGGAAAGATTTGCGGAAAGGGGAAGGATTTAGTAATATATAAGTATAATCCATTTATTTATCACGTTGATATATAAAACGACACTATAGGATTAAAAAATATATATTTAACCAATAATCATATTTCTAAATCAATATTATTTTTAAGTGTAATCAATTATTTTTTTCATTATCATTAAAAAAAATATTCTCTGCATCACTAGTAGCATGTTTTTAAATTAGTTTATACTGATTATTGAAATCTAAAAAGCAGGATTTAAATTAAAAAAAAAATTGAAAAAATATGTTACGTAAATCCAATACTAACAACAAAGGAAAATGAAAAATATATCTAAAAACACTAAAAAAAATCTAACCAAAATAAATCAGCGATCCCAATCAATATCTAAACTAAATTACTGAACCCAATAAAAATCAAACCGATGTAATCAGTGATACGCTCGAATAATTTAACGTCGATCCAAAAATCACGTTGCCGAAAATAGAAACTTTTACATGAGAAACAAAAATATTGGGGTCAATCTAAAATTGTGATAAAACTAAAGGGTCAAAAATGAAATGATCTAAAATTGGCAGGAGTGGTTGAGTCGGTTGCGATTAGGGGCTTAGGCTGACGTGGGAAAACGTCACATCATTGCCCGAATTATGCAGTTCACGCTTTGTCCCCCATTGTCTTTTTTTGGTAAATGGGATAAGGTTTCCAAATAAAACGTATTAATGTGCTAATTAATTTTATTAAAAACTTAAGTAATTATCTTTTAAGTCTACTGATTGCATTTTTATTTCAATAGATTAATTATTAGGGTTTTTTTTTGTTGAGGGTAATCCGAAATAGCGTTGGAGTTTGGAACAACACTTTATTTTATTTTTAATTGGTTATGAATTATATTCCACTATAAATAGATATTTTTATACTTCACACTTTATCTTTTCATCTTACATTTTGCTAACAATATAAGTATTAATTATTATTTTTATACTACACAAAATATACTAAATAATATGATAAAGAGATGACCTCAAAAATTATTTCATTCCTACAATAGAGTTCGAATCCTGACCCTTAGTTAAGAGACGAAGATGTTGAACCATCTATAACAACACAACACATTGAAAACATATAATTTTTATCCAAATGAAATTTATAATGTATTAAATAGTTTGACCTAAAAGATGAACTAATTAGATGTTTTCTCTTAGATTGCATATTATGCATGATATATACATTAATTGCTCTAATAAATTAGTCAAACGTTGATGGTATGTGTGTGTATATATATATATATATATATGTATTTTAGCTCGGTTGAATTAAAGATGGTATTCATTATTGTTTGTAATATTCAATTTTATTTTATCCATACGGACAAAAGTTGATACGGTGAAAGGTACCATTTTTAATACACACTTAAAACACTACACTCTCGAGGAGGGTGAGAATTGGGTCTTCCCCAACAAGAAAACCCTAGAATGGCAGTGACTTCTTCCCCAAGATATACATCCCCAGGAGAGACCTAAACCGATAACGAATTTTACTCTGAAACAACATAACCAGACTCTAACCACCGATCAAGCGATCAGTTCTGGCTCGCCCGATACGTGTACCGACAGGCCCAGAAGAGGTAGTTCACGAAGTTAAGACCGGTAAGAACGCACATAAGCCAGTAGAATCTCTCGAGGTGGTACTGATTCAGGTGATCACCAGACAACCATGGACTGTGTCCGAATGAGCCAGTGATGAAATTCACAGCCGAAACGAGCAGGGAGCTCAAGTAATAGCCCATAGCCAACGACGTCCATGAGAGAGATGTGGCCAGAGATCGCATCCTGGATGGTGCCTCCGTGAAGAAGAACTCCATCATTCCGGCTAAGGTGAAGAGGTCTGCGGATCCGAGGAAAACGTACTGGAAAGCTAACCATAGAAACGTGATGGGGAGGGGACTGTTGCTCGGACCGCAAGAAACAGCGATACGTTTGCGTTTGGTCTCGACTAGGGCTGCGACCGACATGGCCACAACGGACAGGACGAGGCCCGTTCCTATGCGCTGCAAATGGGTGATGCCCATCTCGGTTCTCGTGGCTTTTCTGGCGAGAGGGATGAGAAGGTGGTTGTAAACTGGGGCGAGAATCATGGTGAAAACGACGGGAAAGACGGGCAGAGCGGCAGGAGGGACGGTGAGTTTTCCGAGCTTGGTGTTCATGGTGGAAGCTTGCTGGACTGAGAACGTGGAGAGCTGAGCCAGACAGCAGTTGAGCATGATGGTGGACATGAAGATCGGTAAGATCTTGAGGACTATTCTGACATCTTGGACTTGCTGCGTTGTGCATTGCAATGCTCGTGGAAGTGATCTCTGATCTGTCAGGGCTTCTTCGACGAATCCGAGGTCGGAGATTGGTTTGGTTTCTTCCGAATCGTCGGTTTCACGAGATGAAGAACCTGTCTCCATGGCCATGACGGCGTTCCTTGAGTTCTTGGATCCGCAATATTTGGCGTACAGCGCTGCGGTTAAGACCTGCACCGATGTCAAGGATGTTATGTTACAAGAATTGCTGAATAATTCTTTGCATTTTCCATTCTTAGAACATACATACATACATTGAAAGAAAGGGCAAGGGTGAAGGGTGTGACCTTGAAGAGAGTGGTGATGGGGCTTCCAGAAGGGACTTTGAGGCGATAGAAAGTGGAACCAGACAGGAAAACAGGAACAGAGAGGAGAATGGAGAGAGTGGAGACGCCGAACCCCCACTGCCAGCCGACGTTGTCTTCGAGCCAGACCACGAACGTGACGGCGACCAGCGCACCGCACGAGAGGCTGAAGACGAAGTAGTTGAAGAAGTACGATCTCTGTTTCCGCCCCCTCGGCGTGCTCTCGTCGAACTGCTCCGCTCCATGTGGCGGTAACGAGCCTTTTATACCTCCGACCCCTAGGGCCACGAGGTATAGGCCCCCGAATAGCACTCCTCTCGCCCATGGCCTAGCCGAGTGCGCGCAGGCCTGACCCGTTAGGACCACCAAACCCTGTATAAATAATTATACCCTACATTTTACAACATTTTTATAAAATATAATTCTTTTGAATTAAAAGATTTCTCATTTCTAACATTATATTAAAAAACGAAACTTATTATTATTTATTTCTCACCATTTTATCTCCTATTTTGACTGTAATTATCCCTGTTTATAATCACACTTTTATTTTTTTATTAAATAAACCTGGATCCAAATATCCATAAATATTCTAACATTATTCTGGATACTAGTACTCGAGATACTCATAACGCTCGAATCCCTAATACAAAAATATTAAAATGAGATAACCGAGCATTTCGAATGCAAATCCAAATACTCCGATTTTCCCAGTTTTACCGGTTATCCACTCGTACCCAACTCTACTAATACTAGGCACACTTACCAGGAACTCGATAGTGGCACTGAAGAGGTAAATATGGAAGGTGGTGAAGAAGGCGTCGGCGAGGAAGCCGCCGAGGAGAGCGAGGAAGAAAGCCGTTCCCATGAAAACGGTGACCGAGTTCGCCGCTCCCGACGGCGAAAACTCCATCTCCTTCGTCAGATACAGCACCAGATTGCTCGCGCTCGCTAGAAACGCCAAGTTCTCCAACACTTCCACAACTACATATATATATATATGTATACCGTGTATGTATGTGAATATATATACACACACATACACGTACACGTAAGAGTTGTATAAAATGGTTATTCACGACTTACCCAAAACAAAAGAGGCGGCAAGCATGCCGCCGTGGCGGCCGGGGAGGGCCGGCCTGCTTCTCCAATCTCGGTATCCATCCCATGAGTTTATACTGCTCGACTCAATCTCCTGCAAAATTGCACATTTAATGTCTCGCTGCTAACTTGATTTTGTGTCCGTAAGAAAACGAAAAGCCACGTCAGTTCGGTCTGTTTCGACCCACATAGTTTATACTTCTCCTACCCTATCTTGCATGGCATCCTACGATCTCTCCCGTGGAATTGACGTAGTTTTATAGAGGTTTGAGTATAACTATGTGAATTATATATTTTTTTATTATATCTTAATTTGAGTGTGTGTGTGTATATATATATATATAGAGATTGGTACCTCAACGAAAAGATAACATGAGAGCAAAGGAGAGAAGGAGGATGTGAGGGATGAAACTCACCATCGTGTGTTGGGCCGCGTAAGCTGGTGAACGACCAGAGACTTATATATAGGGAGAGGATGGGAATGTGTGTGTAGGACAGTAATGTATGTGATCAATTCGATATATATATATATACACATACATATATACATATACGTATAGAGAGAGAGAGAGAGTAGATGTGGGTGTGGTCCAGACAAGAATCGAAAGCTCTAGAGACTGCACAAAAAGGGACTATTCCTCCTCTTTGTTCGTATCTTCGATGTTGACATTCATGTTTCACGTTCCCATTCTCTTGTGTGTTTTTGCTTTTATTACATACGAAATGACGGCGTTAATCGGTTTACTCTTGACTCTGCTTCTACTCAATGTCATATAATGATACAAACCAATTCTTTTGGAGTTGACATGCATGTTTCATTTACCTCTTGCACCAAACTAAATAATATGAAGAAAAAAAACGTAATTTTCATTTCAAATGTTAAAAAAAATCCTCAAGAGAAATTATCCCTATATATTTCGAAATATATATATATATATATATATATATATATATATATAATTTGTTTTGATAATTAGGAATGGTTCACCGTACCTTCGCCCCAACTACATCCAATCTGAACAGGTGAACCGCCTTACTGCATCCCACCTCTCCAATGAACGCTCGAACACGGGACCTGGAGT